TTGGCACCATCGGGTAGGATGCGCATAAGCACCACGAGTAGCACTCCGTGCATGTCAACCAATGACTTTCGACCCATAAAATGTCACTAATGCGTGCAATTTTCTATCAAAGTGCTCAAAGGGCACAATCTCCAGAAGCTTAAGTTTATGAAACATTCACATTTGCGCACAGTGTTCGACATACTTGTATTAGTAGGGGTTTAAGATCACTAATCAACGGTGCAACTAATATTATTTTGAATAATACTTGCAGAAAAGACAAGGTTTCTGGAAGGTTTAAATTAACGGCAGCTATGACGATCAGATAAATTTCACCGAATTAATCTCCATATAGCCGGACTATAATTCTAGCATTCAGATTTCCGAGTTTACCGAATCCAATACCATCTTTTGATTTTTAAGACAAAGTGGTTTGCCAGACCTAACTGAGGGTTCCTCACTTAAGTCGACGTTTCTAACTGCATGTCTCGCTGTCGGCCCGGAGTTTGGCAACATTTTGCTCTGCCATCTATTTGCCTCTCTGTGTGTAAACTGAGCCCATGGTTCGTCCTGTCTCCATCTCAAATCTTAGGAAATTTACAATGGTCTTCCATCCCGGTTACATCGAGTAGCCAATAATCAGCTTTGGAATTTCGAACCCTGTCATGTCGGTTCTATCCTCCTCGAACAAAAAAAGGTTAGGAAGTAAGAGGGCTTTAAGTTTACTACTAATTTCGCAAAATAGAAATAATGTGGTTAAGGCACCCAATACCACTGCCTTGGACACACAATTACTGTACCGCAATAAAATAGGGATCTGGAAATGTGAGCTGGCTGTTTCATTACTCTCTTTGCAGTCGCCCAAATTCAGTTGATGCACTGCTTTCAGAAACCTAACATTATGAACTCAATATTAGTTATTCGGTAGTTAAGATATGTGTGATGGTTTGTTTTTGCAAGCACATCCACTGGGCGACTAACATCTTATTAAAGGAATGTGGGTTTGTGTCGCGCCAGCGGATAGCGAATGGAAAATGACCGTTTTAACTGCCTATTCAGCCTGGATGTACTTTTGTTAACTAGTAAATAAAGGTTGTAGCACCTTGGAACTTCCTCACAGATAGGCGAAGGCATTGCACCTGAGGATGGGGATTCTAGCATGCCAATGTGGAGGCAATGTACTCGCCCAAGTGATCGTCATCGAAACAATACAATGCAAAGGCAATGCAAGCGGGTTCAACTCTTGAAGCATGCGACCATGGCATTAAAATAGCAGATAAGTAATTTGGTTAGTAATAAAATCAATGGGATACCGTGAAAGAAGGATGTGAGAGCAGGTGAAATTGTTGTTTTTCCTTAGTGCTGGTGTACCTATAACTGATGAATGATGCAGTTCATGCGAAACATGGAAACATTTGTCTCATCTGTTAGGTGCCTCAACAGCGAAACTGCATATCTGATGACAACTGTCGTAGTAACGACCAGAGCTCAAATTTGGCCCTTAAACAGTTAACTAATTAAATGAAGCCAAATTGGGAAAATGTTTTCCTTTACAAAGGCATTGCAGCTTTACTGGAACAAAGGTATATCTTTCACCTAGTATGCTCCAACATAATTCGAATAAACATCCATTGTTGACGTTTTCTAGGTACGTTCGTCTTCGTATAAAATGAAGGATACTTATTTAATAGCATAAATCGTGACGAAAATGTAGTAAGTGCTAAGGCCACATGTCAACAAAGTTGAAATCTGATGCAGGATTATTTATAAAGGTCCTTCTTGTTGTCATGGCATGTGCTGAGGAGGCCGTTTTGAAGAAAGTTAAAGCATATCTTTCTCATGACTAGGCAATTTGCAATAGAGAGGTACTCACTTGGTTTGGGAAAATGTCTCTAAATGTCGCCCAGAAGGGTGTACAAAACTCTACAGCCCACGACACCCAAGACCAGCGATCAGAGATGAATGCTCCTCTAAAGTGAATCTCCTTCCCTTATCGTTAATGTGAGATTTATCGGCCTTCCGTGTCCTTGACTCTTTAGCAGCGGGTTCGTCGTGGCTGGAAATTGTAAAAAGGGTCGCAGACGCAGTGTCCTCATCCTTTTACCCATGCGACTGGGCGCAAGTGATCTTAAAGATCCAGTAAGCATTAGTCTTATCAGTGGACGTCCTCGGCATCCTGTTTATGTCACTGATCCGAAAGCTGATTTTATTATCTATCTGGGTCTGCAGTTTTGTTAGGAGACTGTTGATACGATTCTCTGTTCGACGACGACAAAATTGTCATTCATCTTTACCATCGGTCCAAAGCCAGGACAGGAACTATACTGCAACACCCATTGTAAGGGACAGACCATCACAGTTTGCACAAGACAATGTGGGTAAATTTGAATGCTTGGAAACGGCGTAACAACTTAGTAACAGACAGATTAACACTGAGTTCATTTTATCAAAGCTATTGGTCAATTTTATCAATCTTTGGGAAGGACAGTAAAGTGTTCCTCATCATCACAAGTAAAGCTGGATGTCAAAACTTACCCATTATCAAACTAGCATTAGGCTTTTAATTCAAAATGGGTATGACGAATTGAAAGAACGATTTAACTCAACAAGCAGTAACGATTTGAATTCAGCTTAGCTTTTTTTGTGCGAAAAAATTATTGTCTTGACTCTGTCACACTTCTACGAGTCACGTTTTTACGACCACCGGAAAAGAATGCATACACAATGAAACACTTACCAATGAACTACTACTCCCAACCCTTAATTGAATACTATCCAAAGTGGCTACCGAAGAAATATACAAACGAACGACAGCAATCTGACTCGCTAGCGTTCATCGAAGTTGCTTAACAGGACTCAGAGAACCAATTTGTCAAATTGTCCATCCTTCGTATGGCGGAGATTGTAAGGCTCTTTATCAGCGCCCTCTTTGTACAAACAGTACAAGCTGATGAAATGGCGTTTCCAGTCGGGTGCACATTCGTGAATGTAGAAGCCTATAAAAGGGAACTCTCGTTAAGTTGTATCAGATGGTTTGTTCCTGCTATATTTACGGCCGGGAATGATAATTATTCTGTAGGAAGCCACTATAGTCGAAACGTGCGAAGCAAAGAGATGTTTCGAGTCTTCTCGGACTCCACTCGTCCCACATTTGACGTTTACGTTGCTGTGCGTGCGGAGCAGTGAGTCTATGTATCAAGGCCCATTGACTGACAAGAACAGCCCCTAAAGCAACATCCGTGGCAAATGCAGAAAAAAGCAGCTCTTCCCCAGTTCGCACAACCGTTTAATTCTCGTAATAATGCATCGTAGTTTACAATGTCAGACAAAGATGAGGGAATGAACTCGGATGAACTGAAGTCGAGGTATACCCTGTGAGTCGGAATGGCATATTGTCTCAGCTAATGGCATGAATGGCTTTTAACTGATATGTTTTGGTTAATAGTCGTGTTGCTAATAGGCCAAAATATCTGATGCATTAATCTCAAAGGTTTATTTCCCAACATTTATGGAATGGGATCAATTCCAGTGGCACTCAAGCGGTTTATAGGAGGCGTAGATCACTTTAAAATCATCTAAAATAAAACATGAGATGGTAGATAAAAGCCTAATCGTGTGGTTCTGCTTCTTTAACAGGTTATTCATGCCTCTAGAAGACTATGAAACAACCCAAAAAGTAGCTGAAAACGACTGTGCTACTGAACAGCTCATTAGAGAGGAAAACAGCCATTGTATAAATGTGTCGACCCCTCGTATCGGAAGCACTTTTAAAAGTAGTAATGATAAGTTTTAATAGTAAAAACATCAACTTTATTAGCTCTCCACCGGGGATAGGTCAGGAAACATATTCAGTGTTTCCTTTTCATTATTTTCACGTTGAAGCTACGCATTTTAATCCCATTATGATGTCAAGTTTCGTCGTGATGAGGCTGGCTGAAAGCATTAAGAATAAAATACCCAATTCGGTACACCACCTTAAAAATGGTGATGAGATTGTGGAAGTTGGCGATCTCAGTGAAAGAGACTGGTGGAATCAACGAAAATTTAGTTGAAGTTAAGCTACTTTTCCAGCTGCGGCGGCGAATAATAAGTACGGTAGAGTTTAGCCTATCATACGACGCAAAAAACCCGATTGAAATGGTGTATTCAACAGCGGTGCTAGTAATTCATTTGACTCGAGCTACATCAGCACTAACAATGTCATACAATGAAGTAGAAGCCTGAGACACGACCACCTTCCTGCCTGATCAACTTTCTTAACCAAAAAAACCAACTTCTCGGTCAAGAGGTTGACCTTTACCATTGCCATCGCTTGCAAACTACATCATGGTTGAATGCAAAGTAAAATGCTCAGAAATTGGACCCTACGGCACCTGTTTTTGTTGTAAAATTTTAGCTAGTCTCACAGATGGCTTTGACTTCCTTCCGAAGTGGTAGTATCAGAACCACCCAAAAGCCCAAAGCTTACTCCATCAGTGGAAACTCCCGTTAATTTCAGATTACTGGTCAGAAAGAGGGAACTAATTACAGTCATTATCCAAAATATTTAACCATCACTTTTCCGTCTGTGCAGCTAGTTCGGCCAACACCGACGTTATAAGTCTCAGGACTGCAAAGGTAAGGTTCCTCATACCCATAAACTGTAAATGGCGAAATCTCAGTGCCCTATTAAATAAGAACCGCATCGTCAACACTGACCAACATCCTTAATTACCCCCACAAGAAACTAAGTCTCTACCATCGAATGTGAAAGATGCAGAATTCAATCCCACACTCATTTAACGATTATTTAGCAAGTCAGTTGCTTCGTTGTGTGACGACTGAAAACCCATTTCAATTGGTAACCCTCCACTCCATTGGTAAGACCTTCATAAAGCTGTTGGAAGTCGGAAAGTATCGTTCATTTTTATCCATAAGTGTACAAAAGGACAGGTGGGGAAACAATGACAAGATACCACACAACTTGGAATCTAGTTGCTCTACACATAGCTTCAATGGATAACACACAGAAAAAGGTAAATTTAGGAAATCAAACTTGGAGCTCTCAAGAGTGTGAAAACAGTGTCTAAAGTGAAGGGGCGGATACTCAGGATCGGGACCTCGGGGGAGCTGGTGTGGGGCAAAGACCTTGGAGATGGGACAGCCTTTGAATTAGCCAGTTTGATTAATTGCAAGATGGCCGCGTCCCCACTACTTTCCAAGGAGTGTAGATAGAATCTGATCAGCAAACCACCGTAATCGGACTGCTCTTCAAAAATCGATTCAAGCTTTGCCAATGGGTCTTGTAGCTGGAAAGCGGAGTCGGTTGTCATGGGGATGATGTCATTAGCTAGTCGCAGCTTTTGAATAGACAGTCCAAAAAGGTTTTTACGCCGCCGATTCATCTATAATTAAACGAAATGCTAGTGGATCAAAACTGCTCACAAAACAATTCGCACAGCGACGATGAAAAGAAATCACACAGGAAGAGGGCAATGAATATGGGAAAAAATATGGAAAGCACTAAAGTCCAAATGCTTCTGCAAGCCATATCAACAATGTCCTTTTGACTATCTCGTGAAAATATAAGAACATCTACAAAAGGGAAATCTAGACGACCAATTAAATATAATATGCTTTAAATTCGAAAAAGTTAAATAAAAAGAAACAGAGAATAAGCAACCAAACCAGAAAAGCCAACTTAAATGACACCATCAAATTATTTGTAAAAAGAAAGCTATATTTAACGACCCATTAAATAAGTGGGTTTGACTGATAGCCTGACTGGTTCCCCTGACGGAAGGGAAGGGAACAATATTAATATAAAGTACCCCTTCTTTATGGCCGAAGGCGAGGTGTTGATTCGTATTGCACGATTGAATAAACCAGACTATGTACTCACCCGCGTTATCTTCACTTGCGTCAAATCACCCTTCTTGTTGATGTAGAAGATGACACGAAAGTCAAGCCACCTGCAAAAAGAAAATCACCAAAGTAATGGGACATTAACAGTATTTGACAACGGCAATCAGCCCCCAATTTACTCAGATGACATCTCCACAGCATGGAAGCTGGATGTCCATCGCAAACTCACATTCTTGTGGCCATTACACTAGCTGTTTCAAAAAGACTCAGCTTAGTCAAGAAAATTAGAAACAACTGCTGTACATTACCCAAAATTCACACTATGCAAAAACCAATTACTGAATGAAAATTCACGTTTGTCATCCTTCGACCACAAATGAATAAATATAGTAAAGGAGAATAGACACCTACTTGGCTCTAGCTTCTAGGCGATGTATGAGTTGGTCAGGAGGGAGATGGCGCTCCTCTCTGGTAGGAGAAGGCAGAAGAACGACGCGAAAGTTGGCCTCCACTTGCCAACGAGTATGGTCCACCTCAACACTGAGCACTTCAATCTTCCGAGCGGAGGAGACTGCCACAAAGTAGGAACGTGCAAGTGCTAGTACGCAGTTGGCTTGTGATGAACCTCTAAATAGGTACATGACCAATGCTATAAATAACACTGTCAAAGCATAACGCAAAGAATTTAGGCCGAGGTGTGACATTCCAAGTATGACTCTCTAGAAAATAGCTTCGAATACATTATCAGAAAGTTATCACAGTAATAGTGCATTATAATCACAGAATTCAAATGCTGCATTATTGTCAATGAATGTTTAGTAGTACGGTACTCAAAACATCCAACTTCTTCATGCTCTATCACCTGACATTCGCTAATTATAAGTAATCAAAACGAAAGAGCAATAGTACATAGAAAGGATATCAAAATGCAATCCTCTAAAGGGAATATGAAATGGTTCGATCTTGGGTCAATCGAAACTAGAAATAAACGTTTCAAGAAATAAAAACTATGTCTGGGAAGGAAACGCTGCGTCATTCACCCACTCATGACATCAAGATTAAGAACCACATTTCACCATGCAACAGGTGTTAACAACTGCTAATGAGGAAAATGCAAAAGGACGTGTCAGTATTGAGGAGAGTGCTCTCTTGTATATAAATTCTCGACGGACTACTGATAAAAAAGTAAAAAGGGCCTTCCAAAGAATGTGTCCAAGAAATTGATGCACTCATACCCCAAAGCCGAGTAATTTCAAGACAAAAATTTAGCGAGGCAAGAACTAACCTAAAAAACAAAGGTTGACAATTAGCCCTCTCGATCTCCAAAACTGTTTCAGGACAGAATAAATCAATCGTATCGAAAATACCCCGCGAGAATACTGATGGTAGGTCGTTTTCAATCCATTTTCGAATAAAGATCAGTTTTTCGGCCCGGGACTCGAACTCCCTTCTAGAGTTCGGATCAGCAATAGTGGAGCGACATTCATTTCCGTCGCCGAAATATACGACGTATGAAGGAGTAAAGGCAGGGAATGAACATAGTGGTGAAGGTAAGGCTACGCAAGAATCCACCTTTGTTGTCGAGCATGAGTTCCGCCTATTCCAACTGGCATACATCCTGTATACAGCACCCGAGCAGACGAATCCTGTGATGATAGACTGACGGCAATAATTAGACGAAAATCGCTTATAAGGCGATATCACCCCCTTCAATGCTCTCAGCATCATTCGCCTGTAACTAGATTTCCGATGATAGTCACCTGCGAAGTTCCTTCGTGTAGCTGAGAACAAAGGAACCAAACGAAGCGAGTCTATACCAACAAGCAACTTGTAAACCAAAACCCCAACAACCGAACCGCTATTTTGGAATTCTCCAAACAAACACCAACTTGGATCAATGATCACACAATTTAAGGTCATAAACCTCAATAAGTTATAACAAACAAAAAAAGTATAGGAAAAAGAAAGCAGATAGATTAATGTGTTTTACAAAATCCTTAAATTTATATAAAAGCGTAGGAATGACGCGTGTAATCAAAATACACAAAGCGTTGCCTCATCACCTCCTATAGCATATTCACAGCATTTGTTTAAATACGGCTTAATTATCTAAGTACTTGTGGAGGAAATGAATTACAAATGACAACTAAGCTCCGCATATTGTTCGGAGCAAATCAAGCTTCGATGTCATTTTTGTTTGAGGATTCTCCCTACACGTGGCATTGAGTCTATTTTGTTTGATTTACTCTTAACATGGGCTTCAGACACCCCTTTACTTAACTCTTATTATAGCTTTCCTTTGTGCTTTTGGAGGAAAAAGCCATAGTTCCGAGATTAAACCCATGCTTTAACCAAATTCGGATATGCTGCGACTAAAAGCATAGACCAATTGATGGTACATTTTTCTGAGTAAATATGACCTCTCAAGTGAACAATAACAAAAGCGACTGCCAAGCATGTAGCGCCCCGAGACTTCCTACCGGGTAGATGAATCAGGGAGTCTGGATACATGTATTACAAGGAGAACCCAGTAATTAGGCTTGGGCATAGCCCGAAGACCAGCCCGCTTGTGCAAGAGCCAGATAAATCTCGGAGTGACCGCCAAACGTCGGGTGGTCACATAAACAAAGCATTGCAAATCAATCAAAGTTTTGCTGCGAAACCTCCTATAGTTAATCACCCGCATACCTGAGAGTTTCTTTGCTATTCGTTTTGTTTTCAAGCTCGTCGGCTGGCCTTTGTTCCAAGGCAAAGCCCAATCTCTTCTTTCACTCCTAGAATACATGCATTCGACCAAAATAAAACCTTCTCCTGCCTAATGGGAAGTCCCGAGGCACTAATACACGCAGTTTCTCATGTTGCCGGGTGAATCTGCTCAACTATTATCATACTTTGTTTCCATGAGACGCAGATGAGTGTTACGCTATAGATAGGTGAATTCATTATTGCTAAAAAGTGGAGCCATGTTTGCTTCAAGTACTTCCACATAGCTTTAATATTCACCAAGTTTTTGAGTGCAGGAGGATGATTAAAATGATTGGCTCTCAAACCCCATAAGCCTGCTTGCAGTCAATTTACATTGCCAAGTTAAAACGCAATAAAGGTGGCAAATTATTAGAAACAATTTCCAAAATAATCCATTTCCCATGCAACAATTCAGTAATTGTGCAGCAAGTTATGAGTATGTTATTCAATGGAAAAGTTGCGTAAATCACCGAATCTCAATGCCTCTGCGACCTCGACGTCTTACGTAGGCATTGCTTTGTAGAATGGCCTGGGTCCTGTTGTCCTGTTGCTCCTTTTCACTTACTCCTGGGAAAGCGTAGAATGCTGGAAAGAGTTGGAGAAGTCGAAGCCTTGGTAAACTGATGGCTAAATGCAGTAGACTGTGACTAGTTTCTGTCGAAGGCGGAATAAAGTTTTGGATGCAAAGGACTCGAAGTGTACATCTCGAGGCGAGACATTCGACATCTGAATCGTCAGAGGAAAGTGGGCAGTTTTGTCCTGTCACCGACACGTTTCTGGTAGACATATCCTATAAATGAATGTAAAGATTAAAAGGTGCTGCATAATAATGTTCAAGGAAGATAATTGAATAAAACCTTAATATTTTTTTTGAAACTTCATACCGATTTTAAAGCATTAGCAAAACGAGAAACTGAAAAGTATTCAAACAGGCCTTCTATAGTATAATGCGATTCGTAGCCTCTCTGAATATGCGGCAGCAGTGTCGTTATTTAAAGATTTGAGGCAAATGCGTTAAGATGGCGCAGTCTTTTTCACTAAGTGATAGTACTCATCAGTTTGCACATCATTTATCCTTAAAATAGTTCTTCTGCAATTAATGAATGTATCGAGCTCCTACATTATGCAGTTCATCTAAGAACGAAAATGTTTTGCTTCTTAAAACTAGTGCATCAAGAAGATTATTCATTGTGTACATACCTAAATACGGTAATTTCCGAATCCTGAAACATGGTGGTCAAACAAGCTATGAAAAAGTCCTCCAAAATTATTCGTTGCAACACCGTTTCCCGCCATCAGCAGACAACTCAGCTCTGACCGTCTCTGCAACTGTCGTACTACTTTGTACCAACTCTTGCGCCGATTTCGTATGTAATAGCTTAACTTCAAGAGTGTGTCAGTCATTGAGGCGAACTAAATCCTCCCAAGTTTTGCTGTTTGAGCTTGAGCGTCGTCGTGCAGGAATGCAGCTTCTTTCTCACCGACTGTATTACTAGTTTCAATTATTTTTTGCAAGTTTATTTTGCATTGAAAATTTTCAAATTGATTTCAGCTGTAAGTGCTTTATTAGTGACAAATTTCACTTTCTTATTCAGACATGTTGCCAAAATATGAGAAGAACCTCTAGCATTGGCCTGAAACGCTGTTATGAAAAGTCTAGGCCCGTTTACTTACGGAGACTTTAATTTCTTTAGCAAATAGGCGGAGAATCCATAGCAGGCGATCAAAAGAGAGGCATGTGTAGGCGAGAGAGAGACAAGTGAGGTGGCCAATGTGACTGAAGCACGTTTTCCAAAAGATCTGAGCGAGTGTTGCCTCGGGAACACGCGCGAGATTGTTTCGAGATATGTTGAGCTCATAGAGACCAGACAGAGGACGCCAGTTGAAGGCAAGAAATTCAACGTCTTCTACGCAGAGGCAGCAATCCTATAAACGCAGAACAATTTTAAAAGATGTAAAACTCCTCGTAAGTATATGATAAATGAGACCAGCAACTATGTCGCGCTTTCGTAAATTCTCACTGTTAATCGCAATAGTTCGTTGAAAATGCGGATTTGACATGCATAAAAGGAAAATTAAGTATTGATGCATTGATTTCAAGGTGTGCACAAGAAGTTCACAATGAGAAATGAACGAAAATTTGTAAAAAGCAACCGACTACCTGTAGGTTAAGGTATTCCAGTGGCTGGTTGAGTGCCCCGAGGAGAAGCTGGAGTTGTCCCTGAAGATAGCATCGAGCCAGACTAAGGCGTTGTAAGTGGCGTAAAGAGATGAGTGACCGATTGAGCAAGCGACAGGCTCCCAAATTTGGAGGTTTGGAGGCAACAGCGAGGGATGATGAGGCGGCAGAGTTGGCGGCGTTAAGTGGCGGAGGAATGCATGCAGGGAGTGAACAGGCTCGGAGATTGCGAAGGCTTGCTAACCACCCGAGCGCAGAGGGCAGGCCTCCCATCGAACCGGCGCCAAGTTCCGGATCCTCCAACTCAAACTGTGTTATTGACTGAAATTGCACACATGCGTACGGAGAGACAACTCATTCGATTACTCGGTAGTATGAGCATAAAGCAAGTGGAAAGATTACCTTCAAAGCCTAATCTGCCTTCGAAATTTCAATACAGAATGTCTGGCAAGGATATGCTCAAGCGTTAAAAAGGTGAAAATTGACATCGAAATCAGCGCGTGGGTCCGCTAAAGAGCGACTTTACCCAATTAAGCCTAAGGCGATTTTCGATGGATCGTTGAGCCTTGAGTTGCACAAAATAAGTTGATTTTGTGCTGCATTGACAGAGAGATGCACGCTTTAGTAACCACAGGTCCCATTGTGAGGACTGAGTCTAAATCAACTTATTCCTAAGGCTAGAAAGAGACCGAAATTCGGATTGGAAGATATGGCAGCACCAATGTGTGTATATGTATTTGGTTCAATATCGAAGGATAGCCACCGTACAATTTGACTTTATGTATAATGTCTTGGGCAAGTCCATGCATATACGACTGGTAATCCCGAAATGCCTATCTTGATATCAAAAGCGTCAAACTGTGACTGAGGTAATCTTCTATGCTTGAATTATAGAACCTATTACGAAGAAGCAACTGCAATGCGCCACCAGAGCGCAGGAGAAGAGAGATAACTGGTAGCATGTAATGTCGAATTACCAGAGGATCGAGTAATCGAATGAGATTGAAGACGGGAAGTTGAAGCTCCGGCAAGCGTCGCATGAGCAGACGATTGCACGAAAAGCGAAAGGGCGTCATTGACTGCAGAGCTAGACCAAACGCCACCTCATCGACTGACATATTACAATCTAAGCATATTGTCAGCGGTTCTATTTATGCAAAATAGAGGAAGTAGTTACCAAAGAGCATCCATAAGCTTTGGCCCACATTTTTACCACATATGCCCTGCAAACAGCGATGAATAAGAAGACAAGAAAATAGAATAAAAATGCATATTCGTTAATATTTGTTTTGGTTTATTAAGGGAAATTTGAAAGCATAAGAAGCTTATTTGAGGCACTGTTATTCTCCAGCATCAAGAATGAATGAAAAACACTCGTAAAAATGGAATTTTGCGTTTCATCATTAAAATGGCATTTAGGGTATGAACACTTAAGGGGAATAAAACGAATTAAACACTCACGACTTACCGAAATTTTGCTCATGATGAAAATTACCCTCATGAAGGTTGTAAATGGTAGAAATTCGCGAAAAGTATCGGTCAAAGCGTTGATCTTGAATGGCCAGCTGCAAACTGGCACGAATTTGCTGTCGCACGTCCTCTGAGCCGCGTCGCTCCGGACTCATCCAGAGCAGTGGTAGCCTCGACAACTCGATACTCACTCGCCGATCTAATAAGGAAGGCATACATCGAGCTCGTTAGCTAATTATTAGGCAATGTATCTTCCATCCATCCCATGGAACGTCAGTACTTTCACCTACTACTTTGAAATGTTGAGGAGACTGGTTAGCATTTTTGGCATCAGTCTAGATCAGTTGAGGGGTCCTTGACGTTTGAAGAGATGACAGGTAGATGAATGGTCAGTACATGAAGCCTATTACTGACGCATGTGGGAAGAAAAGGAGTCACCTAGCTTTTAAGTTTTGGCTGCATACAATTTTTCACTTCAAAATAATATGATAATTGGTGGCACTGCAACTATGTTTACTCAACCCCCACCGCAGCTTCTAAAGCAAGTGAAGAAACTAGGCCATCGAACCCCTGAATTAAAAAGGCATAGGAATTCAAATTGTTCGAATTGACCAAAAGAAACGACTGATTAAACAATATTGATGAAAAAGAGCATCCTCTGAGTGCTAGTGTGCACAAACCTGTGAAGAGCATCGGTGCATACGAACGCGAATTTCACCAACGCAAGACCGTCCGGACAATGCATTTTTGTACCCATACGTTTTGAAAGTAGGAAAACGAATGACATAAAAGTTGCAATTCAGGAAAGGAAAATGAATTTTACAATTTTGAGCATCAGGAAACAAATGTAGGTGTATGAAAGTCCAGAAGTGGTGGACAAAACTGAACAATATTTTCTGAATTCGTCGCAAATACAGGCCGTACATCACCACGTTAGTTAAAATTAAGCGTTGTAGGTGACATGTTGAGCCCCCACACTGGACAGGCAGGAGGATGCAAGCGACTATTTGAAGAGACGAAATAGCATTTATGCAGCGTAGATCATTACTCATTGGATTAATGGGACAGTCTAAATTTTACCCACAATATCCACTCATTGACCCACTTTAGTCCCGACGCTAGTGAAGTGCTATCGGTGCTCCCTTGTCGGTGTGAAAAATAAGGCACGTGAATGGGAGGAACGGCAACATTACTGGGTTGTCTGCGAACTGCAAAACTACCAAACCTAACGAAATCGATAACAGTCTGTTGGCACAAGTCCCGAAAAGTAGAACTTAGAACACATTCTTGCAAGTGCTTTGATTACTTGAGCTCGTGCAGACTCGAGTCTCAACAAGAGCACAACTTAAAGGCACCTCACCGAAGCAGCAGTGATGAATTTGCCAAAGTGGCCGTAAATTGTGCTGGGTCCCCTGAATAGTCCGTTCGACAATGCAATAGGTGCAGTACAATCATACCACCGTACGGTTGTAGCACAAATTTATATTGCTTTGCCACTTTCTGTCAAGATTAAGCGATAGCTAAGGGAAAATAACTTCATTGCAGATGCATGGGATTGTTTTTGTCAGGCAAGATGTTTTGTGCCCTGATCTGTGATTATATTGCTGCATAAAGCAAATGCCAATTACCTTCAACCCCGGTTATTTCGTTCTTTCGATTTTTTCTTATCAACTTCCCAACAATTAGCTTTGCTAATTTTGAGTCGAGCGCCTATTGACTGCAGTGTACTAAAACACCTTTTGACAATAAACAATATTCAAATCTCTAAGCCAGTAGGTGAATGGTTTGGAATTACAAAATGTCAAACAACTTACCTTCTTCAAAACCGTTGACGTCAATCACTTGAAGTGCACAATTTGGATGTCTAGACAGTACTCCAATGATAAAGGCATCCAAGAGACTTGGCCCTTTGAGAACACTATTTGAGATGGAACCAAAGGAATCGAAATTTGAAGTAACAAAGACGGGCTTTGTGAGATAGCCTCGAGTTAGAGGAAAGTCCTCCTTTGGTAAAATCCTTCGAACGTTCAAGTAGGCCCCGGGCCAGTTTGCAATGAGACCAGAAATGGCCGCACAGTCACGTTGTACAATTGCCTCGGTAAGAAGCTTCTCAAAAAGATTAACAGAGAGGTGCTTGTAGTCGGAACGTGAGGTAGACAGGGTGTCCTTGAGCTCGGAGTCCACTGGTCCCGGACAGACCGTCTGCTGACCACGCAACGGCAAACCACAAGGCCAGTCACGAATCAGGTAAGCAATACAAATCTCTGTTAAGGTTCTACAAAGGGGAAAATCAAAGGCTTCATTAAAACACGTGTACACGTAAGGCAGAGTAAACGGTTTATCATTTATTATGATCCTTCTTTCGGAGTTGAAAGCGAGCTAACTTATTGGCGATTTAATGGACTCATCCAATGGTGACGAAGAGAGTTACTTGGATGCAAACTGTCCATAGCACATTTGTGTGTCTCATTGCATTTCTGAAATTCTCCTTCATGTTAGACTCAATCTGAGCGGAAAAAAATTATCACCCGATGCTTTAACCTTCTTTTCATGGGTTAATGGACTTAAAATGATGAATATTTTAAGTTTCACCAAAGTTTTATTTTTGTATGGTTTCGAAAACAAAAGCAGATTGTAAAGTTGTATTTAAATACAATTTTGGGCATAATCTGTGTCATTGAATATTGTTTAAAAAACCATGAACACTTAGCTTCAAGCGAATGATTTAATAAATCCCCAATTAATCCTTCTTCTGGTGTTCTGCCAAAAAAAGGTTCTTTATTTTCAAGAACACGTAGTGCGTCACATTCTCGAAGAGGATAGAGCCAGTAAGTCGAACAGCTTTGTGGGAAAGATGACCTTAGTGCATTAATTTCCATGAGCATTGAGGGTGTTGGTTGGTTTGTTTATAATTCAACATCCTAATGGTTTTAGCATCTTATAAGGAACCTTTTGTAAAGTGGAATTCGGAGAAAGGGTCCCATGGAATTGGATTACGGTCGGTAAATGAGAATTTGAAAGCTTACCGAGGCGTACAAAACAATGTGTTTGGATCCAAATTCCATTGTATAGCCCCCGTATTTGGATCCCTTTGAAGCCTGTATCGACAATGAACAAAGGGATACCAAACTGAAGCAAATTCGGGCCTGTGCATGCGTACCCATGACGCGTAAGTCGGTGCCTGCCTAGGCGGATAGACGTCGGCTACGGTGAGAGTGCGCCTAACTCTTGCCCTCCCTGTTGGACTAGTCACCTTTCTACCATATTTGCCCAGGTGCTTACTACGATCTTCGCATGTAGCCAGTGTGGCTGCTCGTTGGAGCTGGATAGCGTTGCGCTCCAGCCGACGCTTTGAGTGAACACCTTGGTGATGCCTCGGTGAGGTGCACTCACTGTCGTCGCTCTCCTTCCAGGTGTAATCGATCAGCGTCAAACAGCCATGCATCACAGGACTGGCTTCTTCCCCGCCTTTCGATTCGATCAGCTGGTTATGCGTTTGTTCACATCGGGCTTGACCACGTCTGCACGGGATGCCTGACCAATGGGGAAGACGCTCTCAGCCAATCGGTGAGGTGCACAGCTGGCCAACCCACGCACCTAGGCAGGGACAGTGCAAGCACCCACAGAAGCTGTCCTTCCATGCCCTAATAACCCGCTGCGTGGAGTGATTTCAATGAATACGCAACCCTCGGTTTTAGTAGATGTGCCTCAGTTAAGTGCATCAGATTTGTCACTCTTCACCAATCCATTCGTCACAACACTATACAAACGAGCCTAGTAAATAAAGCTCCTATTCACGTTGATTATCTTTGGCATTTCGCTAATAAGCTTAGATCATCACAAAATCATTTGAAGAAAAGAATGATCTACAGCACTACAAAATGTTCATTATGTCAAACCTAGGTGCCAGTGGTAGCTGCTACTTCTGAAACGCCTTTAATGGCTTACTAGGATGTTATTAC